ACCTGAGGACCTCCTTGTGGCAACACCAGAGGTACTCCAAGTGGCCAGATACTGGTCAAAGGACATTTAATCAACTACCAAGCTTGCAAACTCTGTGTCTTTTGTATATTTGTTTGTTTGTTCTGTCAAAAATGTTATGCAACTGTTTGGTTGCCTGACACGATAAATAAATAAATTATTATTATTATTATTATTATTATTATTTAGGTGAGCACCAAGAGCTTGAAGATGATCCCAAATGGCTTCGACCACTTTGAGTCTCTTATTAGTGATAATAAAATATTATTATAGAATATTATAATAAAATATTATTACTACTACTTCTATTACTTAGAGGGGCACCAAGGGATTGAATGATGATGCCAAATGGCTTCAGCTGCTTTGGGTCTCTTGTTAGAGATATAAAGTATATTATTATTATTTGAAACACAACAACATTTGTACACAGCAAACGAGATCACTACGCTGCTTGTTGTATTGGATCACATGTTGGATACTTCCCAAGTGTCTAGGACTATGTGATGTATCGGCGAATAATGCATGCAGATCCCAGTACAGTGGCCTTTTGCACCTGGCAGATGGTAATTTTGTCAGCGCTGATTGTGTTTAAGTGCAGGCCAAGGTCTTTAGGCACTGCACCCAGTGTGCTGATCACCACTGGTGCCACCTTGACTGGCTTGTGCCAGTCTTTGCAGTTGGATCTTTAAATCCTCGTATCATGTCAGCTTTTCCAGTTGTTTCTCTTCAATCCTGCTGTCATCTGGGATTGCAACACCAACAATCCACACTTTGTTTTTTAACATGATAGTGAGGTCAGGAGTATTGTGCTCCAAAACTCTGTCTGTCTGTAATCGGAAGTCCCAGAGTAGTCTGATGTGTTCATTTTCTGTAACCTTTTCAGGCTTCTGATCCCATCAGTTCTTTGTCACAGGTAGATGGTATTTGTGGCACTTCTTGCAGCAGCTGAGGATGTGATCTATTGTTTCATCTGCTTCCTTGCAGAGTCTACATTAGGGAATCTGTTGTCGAATTTTCAATTCTGGCTTTGATGGCATTGGTTCGAATGGCTTGTTCTTGGGCTGCCAGAATCAGGCCCTCCGTCTCCTTTTTCAGAGTTTCATTTGTGAGCCGCATCCATGATTTTTCTTTGTCAATTTGGCTCTCAATTTTTCCCAGGAATTGTCCATCATAATTATTATTATTATTATTATTATTATTATTATTATTATTATTATTATTGAGGAGCACCAAGGGGTTGAATGATGATCTCAAATATCTTGATCTCTTGTGAGAGATGACCCCAAACCCCAGAATTAATTCCACTGAGTTTGCCCTTGGTCTGAGTTGGCCCTTCTCCATTTCTGGCAAAATCCAGGGAAGAAAAACAAGCAAACAATGTCCGGCGAGATAATGGAGATAAAGTCTTTGTCATCTCCAATAAAACTATTGATCTGTCTCACCGGTCCTCCGGCCGCAGAAAATAGCCATCGCAGGGCTCTCCAGAGAGAAGCGGCTTGCTATTAATAAACAGGGAGAAGGTGTCAAAGACCCATCTGGGAATGGAAGGGAGAGACGTAGTTCTCCCCATTTTTTGCCAGAGGTTTATGGGGCAAATCATCTTTTTGGCTCAAAGAAATAAAAAATGGTCCAGTCTGGCTTCCCAAAATTCGAGGGGCATTTGTTTGCTTTTCCTCCAATGTGATATATGGCAGCCTGTTCCAGCAAAATGCCCTTCTCCATTGGGGCATCCTCTATGTAAAATGACATTATTGTTTAGAGGAGCATCAAGAGGTTGAATGATGACCCCCAATGGCTTCAATCCCAAATGGCTTCAATCCTCAAATGGCTTCAATTTCCCCCAAACTTTCCACTCTATTTTGGAAGAGATAAAGTAATAATAATATAATCACAATAATATTTATAGACCACTTTTTCCTCTTCCAAATATAATTACTATTGCAAGGGGCCAGGCTTAGCACAGCAGGCTAAACCGCTGTGCTGCAGAAAAATCCTGCCAATTGAAAGGTCGACAGTTTGATCCCAGATTGGGTTAAGCACCCGCTGTTAGCCCCTGCTCACCTGCCCACCTAGCAGGTCGAAAGCAGAAATGCAAGTAGATAAATAGGTACTGCTTTTAGTAGGGAGGTAATAAAGGTGCTCTTAAGGACATTGATCAGAAGAAAGTTCCTCAGCAAGGAAGATGGAGTGACAGCACCCTCCGCACCCCATGGCTGTAGTCAAACACAGCTTCCATGATGCTGGAAATAAGATGGGATAAACTGCCTTTATCTCTGCGTTGTCTGTCCTTGTTAATTATATCACCGGGATTGAATACTGGAAATAAATACATCAATAAATAAAATGTAAGTCAATAAATAAAAACAATTAAACTATTGTTGTTATTATTGACACAAAAGTACAATATGTCACAGCAAATGAGATCTATATGCTAGATTTTGTATCACAAAATCACAAGTATGTCACAAAATCACAAATCTATATGCCAGATTTTATATCACAAACACTTCCCAAGCGTCTAGGACTCTGTGATGTATTTTCAAATGATGCGAGCAGATCCAAGTAAGGTGGCCTTTTGCAGTTGACAGACCATGGTTTTGTTGATGTTTATTGTTTCCAAATGCCGGCTGAGATCTTTTGGCATGGCCTCCAGTGTGCCGATGACCACTGGGACCACGTGTACTGGTTTATGCCAGAGCCTTTGCAGTTCGATTTTGAGGTCCTGATAACGGCTGAGTTTTTTCTGTTGTTTTTCCTCAATGCGTATGGCGACATCAATGATCCAGACTTTTTTCCCCCCACAATTGTGATGTCTGGTGTGTCGTGTTCCAAAACTTTGTCAGTCTGGATTCGAAAGTCCCACAGTATTTTTGCATGTTCATTTTCCACGACCTTTGTGGGTTTATGATCCCACCAATTCTTTACTGCTGGCAGGTGGTATTTGTGACATACGTTCCAGTGAATCATCTGGGCCACAGAGTTGTGCCTTTGTTTGTAGTCGGTCTGTGCAATTTTCTTGCAGCAGTGGAGGATATGGTCCATGGTTTCATCAGCTTCCTTGCACAGTCTGCATTTTGGGTCACCAGCTGATTTTTCAATCCTGGCCTTAATTGCATTGGTTCTAATGGCTTGCTCCTGGGCTGCAAGAATCAGGCCTTCTGTCCCCTTCTTCAGGGTTCCATTCATGAGCCAGGTCTTCTCCCTGTCAATTTTTCCTTCAATTTTTTGTGGTGGGCTTAACTGCTCCAAGGACGCTGGGAGCTGTGCTGGCAGTAGTGTAACTACCAGCAGGTCCAACCAAGCCAGAGAGGTCTCAGCTGAGGAGTGGAACCAAGAGCACCTAACCCACTAGCATTACGGAGAAGCAAACCAAAACAAAGTCTATACTGGCTCGGTTGATGCCCAGGATAAAAAGGACTGCGGTGGATGCTGCTGATTCTGGACCTCCATTGACAAGGGGGCTACAGAATCAAAAAACAAATGAGCAATCACAGAAGCGGCAGAAATATACAATGCCAGAAAACCGCACGATGATGATGATGATGATTATTATTATGGGAGCTGAACTCCTTCAGTACAAAACCTTTCCAAACTCTCTATTTTTTGAAAGAGATACAGTGTGATATAAATAAATATGATACTGATGGGAACTGTACTCCCCTATAAAAAAAAACTTTCCCAAATTCTCAGCTCTGTTGTTGGAAGAGATAAAGAGGGATAATAATAATAATAATAATAATAATAATAATTATTATTATTATTATTATTTATATCCCTCTTTATCTCTTCCAACAACAATAATAATTATTATTATTGAAGATATAAGGTGGGATAGAAGTAATAATAATAATAATAATTATTATTATTACTTCTATCCCACCTTATATCTTCAATAATAATAATAATAATAATAATAATAATATATTATAACAATAATATTTATATCCCACTTTATCTCTTCCAATAATAATAATAGTAATACTTGTTGTCATTGTTGTTATTGTTATTATTGTTATTATTGGAGCTGTAGTCCCCCCCTCCCCCAAAGAACCTTTCCCGAACTTTCCGCTCTGTTTGTGGAAGAGATAAAGAACAATAACAATAATAATAATAGCAATAACAACATTTATATCCCACCTTATCTTTTTCAATTATCATCATCACCATCATCATCACACAGTCCTAGACGCTTGGGAAGTGTTTGACTTGTGATTTTGTGATACGAAATCCAGCATATAGATCTCGTTTTCTGTGACATACTGTGCTTTTGTGTCAGAAGATAATAATAATAATAATGCCTCTAGAACATGGCCATATAGCCCGAAAAAACCCACAAGAACTGAGTGATTCCGGCCATGAAAGCCTTCGACAATACAATAATAATAATAATAATAATACAAGACTACTGCTCCTTTGCCAAACTACATCTCCCATGATTTGCATTAATGTGCTGCAAGGTTGCCTCCATCCATCCCAAAGTACAGATTTTTTTTTTCGTGTCATATAATCCAGTTCAAAGTGGATTTTATACACCTGTGTGGAAGGGACCATTGAGGCCCCCATCTGCACTGCCATATAATCCGGATTATTATTTCTATCAGCTTTGGAGAAACTGCAAGTCGCTTCTGGTGTGAGAGAATTGGCCGTCTGCAAGGACGCACCTAACGGATAACCTATTTCATCCAAACGCGGGATGAATGCGGGATTATCCCGCTGCAAAAGAGAGAGCGAGAGAGAGAGAGAGAAAGCCCTGCAGTGGTGCGGCTGAAAAGAGAAGAGGGGTGGGCGGGGCTTGCTGCTTAAGGGGCGCGGCTTGCCTGGCCGGCGGCGGGCTAGAAGGGGGCGTGGCTACGCGGGGAGATGCAGATGAGGGGGCGGGGCCAGGGAGGCGTTCCAGCTGCGGCCAGCGCAGAAGCAGCAAGAGCTGCAGCAGAAGAGGGAGAAGCAGCAGCAGCAGCAGCGGCGGAGAGCATCCTCTCTTCTTCTTCACTCCTTCGGAGGTCTCTCCTTGGAGAAGGGGGGGCGCAGAGCATGGCCGATCCCGAGGCTGACCCGGAGCTGCCCCTTCCTCCCCCTCCTCCCCCGGCTGCTTCCTCCTCGTCCTTCTCCTCTTCCTCCTCCTCCTCTTCCTCCTCGGTCCCCGAGGGTGAGGAAGGCCCGGTCCGCTTCGCCCGCAAAGGAGCCCTCCGCCAGAAGAACGTCCACGAGATCAAGAACCACAAGTTCACCGCCCGCTTCTTCAAGCAGCCCACCTTCTGCAGCCACTGCACCGACTTCATCTGGTGAGCCATTCGCCCCCCCTCCCCTCCCCTTGAACCCTCCGCCCCCCCCCCCCCAGGTAAGCTCACCTTGAAGAGCCTCCCTTGTAGTGAATGAAGAATGTAGGTCCTGTCCTTCTCTTGGCAAGCTTGATCCATCCATGGAGACTCTCTCTCACCCTCCCCAGTCTTCCCCAACCCACCCTGCGACATTGGGCCCTTCCACACAGCCATATAACCCAGAATCCACAATATCTGCTTTGTACCGGGTTATCTGAGTCCACACTGCCATATAACCGAGAGTATCAAGGCAGACAATCCACAATATCTGTTTTGAACCGGGTTATTTGAATCCACACTGCTATATAATCCAGAATATCAAGGCAGATAATCCACAGTGTCTCCTTTGAACCGGGTTATCTGAGTCCACACTGACACTGCCATATAATCCAGTTCAAAGTGGATTTTATACACCTGTGTGGAAGGGACCATTGAGGCCCCCATCTGCACTGCCATATAATCCGGATTATTATTTCTATCAGCTTTGGACAAGACTATATGAGTCTGCGATGCCATATAATCCAGATTATTATTGTCTGCTTTGGACAAGATTATAAAAGTCTACATTGCCATATAATCCTGGTTATTATTGTCTACTTTGGACCGGATTATATGAGTCTACACTGCCATATAATCCGGGTTACTATTGTCTGCTTTGGACCAGATTATTTGAATCTACACTGTCATATAATCCTAATTATTATTATCTGCTTTGGACCAGATTATATTAGTCTACACTGCCATATAATCTTGCTTATTCTTATTTGCTTTGGATTTAATTATATGGGTCTACACTGTCATCGAATCCTGCTTATTCTTACCTGCTTTGAATGTAATTATATGAGTCTACAATGCCATATAATCCAGATTATTATTATCTGCTTTGAATTGGATTATATGAGTCTACACTGCTGTATAACCCTGATTATTCTTATCTTCTTTGAATTGGACTATATGTGTCTACACTGCCATATAATCCAGATTATTATCTGATTTGGATAGAATTACATGAGTCTACACTGCCATATAATCCATTTCAAAGCAGATACTCTGATTTTATTTTATTTAGAAGGGGCCCTACACTGTAGACTCATATAATCCAGTTCCAAGCAGATAATAATGTGGATGGTCTGCTTTGGTGATTGGATTATATGGCAGTATAGGTCCAGCCAAAGTCTACACTGCCATATAATCCAGTTCAAAGAAGATAGTCTGGATTTGACATGGCAGAATAGATGGTGGGACGTCATATAGTCCCAGGCCCCTTTTACACTGCCATACAGCATCCACATTATCTGCTTTGAACTGGATTGGCTGGCAGTGTAGACTCATATAATCTAGTTCAAAGCAGATAATGTGGATTATCTGCTTTCATAATCTGGATTTTATATGGCAGTGTACAAGGGGCCCCAGATGACCTGGATTAGATGGTATTGTAGATGTCTATTGCCTATCTCTATCCGTCCTCCAGCCCCAAAGGACCTAAAACTGATCCTTCTCCTTAGGAGTTCAGCCCCTGCTCCCAAAAGGTCTGCCCACTCTTGAAAGCGTCTTATGGTCCTCTTCTTGGCCTCTTTCCTGGGAGGAATCGGAACTAGGCCAGATTTGGCCTGCTTGGACAGATGTGGCCCTCTGGGATCTGATTTAGCTCCATTTCTAACATGTCCTCTGGTTTGTTAGCTTCCTGTACGGCACACAGTCTGTACTGATGCCTACTTGGGTCCATTTGGAGAGGTCCGTCCCTTTGAACGGTCGTGGCCCCCAAGAGTGGGATGCAGTCCATTATTATGATTACAATAATAAATATTCTGGTTGTGACCCACTTGCCCAAACGTGGATACCCATACCTTTCATTGGATACAACCCCATTAATAATAATAAAAATATTATTATTATTATTATTATTATTATTATTATTATTATTATATTTAACTTTATTCCTGTCCTGCCTTTCACCCTTTAGGAATTTAGGTCCCTTCTGTACTGCCAAATAATCCAGATTATCAAAGCAAATATTCCACATTACCTGCTTTGAACAGAATGATATGAGTCTACACTTCCACATAGTCCAGTTCAACGCAGATATTCTATATTGCAGTGTAGAAGTGGCCTCATTAGCTGGTCTGGCACTTCTGTGGAACGCTTGGTCAGGTTCCTGAGTGGGACCCACTTCATTAAATTGGCCCCATTTGCCTAGATGTGGCCCCCAGTTCTAGATGTGATCCAGTTTGATACATGTGTCCCCCAGAACCCAATTTGGCCCAGTTATGCTCTGTGACTCCTGGGTTGAATGCAGCACATCATGTATCTCTTGGATAGATCTGTATTGGATGCAACCTGTTTTGATGGATGTGGCCTCCCCTTTTGAAAACCTTCCCCTTTTGCAATGCCATTTGGCTGAATTTGATTCCAGGGCCTCCCTTTGTTAGATGTGTCCCTATGGCTCCCCCATCATTAAAAAGGGTCCCATTTGTCTAGGACCGAAACCCCTGTATTGAAAGCAACCTATTTTCTAGACGTGCCCTATTTGTCTTGATCTAACATCCCTTTCATTGGCAGCAGTTTGTTTTGCTCAATGTGACCCACTTTGGAAAAACATGGCTTCGTTGGGTTTGACTCCATTTGGCTCCAAGGACCTTTTGGGGCCCAGAGTGACCCCTTTTGCTAAATTTGGCCCACTTTATTAGATGTGTCCCTGTATCCTGGATAGGTCCCACTTCACTCAATGGGTGCTTATATATGGTCCTCTGCATAACAACAACAACAGCAATATCTTTATTTATATCCCACTCCATCTCCCTTGAGCAGGCATGGGCAAACTTGGGCCCTCCAGGTGTTTTGGACTCCAACTCCCACAATTCCTAACAGCCTACCGGGCCCAAGTTTGCCCATGCCTGCCCTAGAAGGACTCGGGGTGGCTTAACATCAAGAATGCATTGGATGTAACTTGATGATAATAATAAATAATGATAAATAATAATAATAATAATAATAATAATTAATGATAATAAATAAATAAAGTAAAAATAATAATTTATTCTCCACCTAGAAGCAGTGTGCAACATGATGGAAGCAGAGAGATAAAACACTTTTGTTATGTTGGTTATATGTATTAAAATATAACGTATTTATTTTATATAAAACATATATGCATACATATAAACAATACACACGGGTCAACATGCTGTCCACAAGTGTCCCTTCAACTTCAGGTGCTTCCAAATATGAGCCCCACCCCTTCTTGTCAACCCCCTCATGTTTTGCAAAATGCTAAAAGGATTCAGGATCCGGGGGTGGGAGGGATGCTTTTAAGGAATGCAAAAATCTGCTCCAAAAGTACAGCCGTTCTTTGCTCTGRGCACTACATCTGCGCGGATTTAGAAAGACAAGGGAGTCTTCTGTCAGTTCCCAACACCCCCCCCCTTAATGTTCCCTATCAAGTCATTGTGTGGTAATACATTAAGATGAGAACCAAGAAATAACCTGTGAGATAGGTAGGAAGAGCCCCCCCGCCCTTGTCTTCAAATGGCAACATCACTCCGCATTAGGGTCCCACTTGTTTGTCTTTTTGGAAGCAAAGGTGAACCCGGAGAGGATCYCCAGGCAGTTAATGTCTTCATTCCCATCTGTCACCTTCCATTTAATAAATTGTCTCTTAATTAGTTATTCCCCCCCCCCCCCCGCCTCTCCCTTAAATTCAAAATCAAAGGAAGTTCCTAGGGTTTGGAGTCCTAGATAGAAGGAAGGGAGGAAGAAGAAGGGAAAGATTAAGACAATGAAGGAGGGATAGAGATAGGGCAGATGTGAAGTATAGATATAGGAGAGAGATGGAAGAAGGGAAAGATTAAGAGAAGGAAGGATAGAAATAGGGAATTAATAGATGGGATAAAGATTAAAGGACACAGAAGAAGAGAAAGATTAAAAAAGAAAGGATAGCGATGTGGAATTGATGGGAAAAGGATGGAGGGAGAAGAGGAGGAGAATGATTAAGAGTAGAAGGAATAGAGAGAGTGAAAGGTTAAGAGAAGGAAGGAAGGCTAAGAGAGAGAGAGAGAGAAGAAATGGGAGAGAGGTGAAGGATAGCTATAAGGGAGAGATGAAAAAGGGGAACAATTAAGAGAAGGAATGATAGAGATATGAAATTGATTGATGGAACAGAGATGAAGCATTGAGGAAGAAGGTAAAGATTAAGAGAAGGAAGGAAGAATAGTGATAAGGCATTGATGGGAAAGAGAGATACAGGGGAGAGAAGGAAGAAGGGATAGATTAAGAGAAGGAAGGATAGAGAGATAGGAAATTAATTGATGAGACCAAGATTAAGGGATGAAGGGAAAATTCAGAGAAGGAAGAATAGACAGAGGGAAAGGTTAAGAGAAGGAAGGAAGGATAGAGGGAAGAAATGGAAGAGAGATGCAGGAAGAAAGGAAAGATTAAGAGAAGGAAGGATAGAGATAGCGAATAATTGATAGGACAGAAATGTAGGGTTGAAGAAGAAATTATCATCATCATATTTAATTACTTATTAATCGCCCTCCATCCGAGATGCTCTAGACGATTTACAAGCTACATTGTAAAAGATAAAAATACATACATACAAAAATTAATAATTTTAATAATTTTTAAATATTTTAAAAATAAAATTAATAGTTAAAGATTGAGAAGAGAAGGAAGGATAGAGATAGGGAATTAATTGATGGGACAGAGATGAGGGATGAAGGAAGAATGTTGCCTCTTCCCTATTTCCTTCTCAGTTTCTTCGAGGTGTATGGGTTTTGGGCACCCTTTGCTATCATATCCCCCAGGATCAGACCACACCAGATTTCCAAATCCACAGATTGGAGGCCTTTTGTAGAGCCAATGGCTCTTAATTCTCACTTGGCAATTCCAGCCCCAAATATCTATTTTCCTCCTCCCTTTGTCTTCTTCTTTTGGGGGACTTGCAGGCTTCGTCTCATGGCAGTTGGGGAGCAACCTATTCTGGGAAGATAAGGAAGCCGCTCTTTGCATTTCCTTGAGTCCACTGGCTGTTAATGTTGCAGAGATGTGTGTTGTTTGTGTCTCCCCTAAATATGTGTCTCCTTCTCCATTTTTTCCAGGGGCTTTGGGAAGCAAGGTTTCCAGTGTCAAGGTGAGTGATGCATCCCTTGTGTTCATGTCTATAGAATTATTGGATGTGGTTGCAGGGAAATGTCCCATTGGGAGCCAAAGTGCCCATTAATTCTTCCCAGCACTTTTTGGGAAAGATCTCCATATTGCTTTCTTTTTAAAACAAACACAGACCCGGGTTGCATCTACATTGTAGAATTAATACAGTTCGATCCCATTTCTACTGCCACAGCTCAGTGCTGTTAATGATGGGAGCTGTAGTTTGGCACTCTTGGGCAGAAAACACTAAAAACCATGCAAAACCACAACTCCCAGGATTATATTGTAAAGAAGGCATCAAAACCCAAAATCTGGACCCCTTTTGTGAAATTTTCCTTAATTCCTCCAAAGAGAAAAGCTTATAATAATTATTATGTTGTCGAATGCTTTCATGGCTGGAATCACTGGGTTGCTGTGAGTGTTCCGGGCTGTTTTGCCATGTTCCAGAAGCATTCCCTCCTGACATTTCACCCACATCTATGGCAGGCATCCTCAGAGGTTATGAGGACCTCACAACCACTGAGGATGCCTGCCATAGATGTGGGAGAAATGTCAGGAGAGAATGCTTCTAGAAGATAGCCATAAAGCCTGGAAAATGCACAACAACCCATTATTATTATTATTATTATTATTATTATTATTTATTATACCCTACTTTATCTCTCCTTCAGGAAAACCATGCACAGTGTTTGCTTACTATTTAATTCCCTAGGGTCTTTTCTTTTCTTTAGAAATTCATTGAATTCTAATTATGCTCTAGTCTTATTTTTATACATAACCTGTTCATTTCCTGCATTCATATTCTCGCTTTGCTTTTTTGCTTGGCAAAAAACTATTTCTAAAGGCAGAAGATTTCAATTTAGCTGCAGTGCTAGAAGTTAAGGGACCAATTGTAAATTTTAGTGTAGAATGTCTCCCTCCAATCCCCATTCAAATTGCACCCTTTCCTACAAAGAGGAAAGGACTTGAAAGAACCCTGCAAGCGTACGTTCATTGGAATTGTCCATTATAGGATCCCCTTTATTCCTCTCCAAACTCCTTTAGAAGGCAAAGAGCCACTTTAGGGGTGCAAATCTGCTTTTGCGGCCTTTTGTTGCCCTTTCCATGGGAAAGAAAGGATAAAGTGTTCAAATGGGTTTTGGGGCCCATATTAGCGCCAAAGTGATGCATGCAATTCAGTCTCCTTTGTTTTAATGCCTTATTTTATTTATATGCGGCTTTTGTTCCAGAACAGAACCCAACGCGGCTTCCAAAAAGCAATCAGTTAAAAACATATAATACACAAAACAATTATATTCATAATGCATGCATTTTTATAGTTACTTTGGGACTCAATTAAGTGAGAAATATAGGCTGCTAATAATAATAATAATGCAAAAGGTTATACATAATGTATGCCCAATAAAAAAAAACAGCCCTTTGAAAGCTGACGTAAATAAAAATGGCTTCTCACCTGCCTTCCGCAACTTACCTACAAATGGAAACGGAAGCTAACTCCCTGGATCTACATTTTTACCAATCAGTTGTGATTCTGCAACATTTTTCCCTCTTCAAGGGATTTCTCTTCTTTGCCATTCAAAATGTTTCCCATTTTCTTGGGGGCCGAGATCATAAAAACATAGCTAAGGTCTACTGGTGTGGGTGAAATGTGTCCCCAGCCATGCACTGACTTCCGGTTTTCTATTTAAAGTAACAAAAAAATCCCCCAAATATTGTCAATGCAATCTGATTGTATGTAGCAACAGGGCTTGCACTCATGAATCTTCTGAATGGGAAAAAGGAAGGCTCAGGTTACATCCACACTGTAGGATGAATCCACTTTCTGCATCTCTTCAATTGCCATGCTGCTGTGCTTTGGGATTCTGGGAGTTTTTAGTTTACCAAGGGGTGCACTGTAGAATGAATGCAGTTTGTCCCTTCTTTATTTGCTGAATACAGTGGAACCCTAGGAGCTGCGGTTTTGCAAGGTCTTGAGCCGTCTCTGGTGCTGCCCCAAATGACAAATCCCATGATTTCATTGCATTGAGCCAGAGCATTTAAAGTGGCATCAAACTGCATTCATTGTGTAACATAGATGCACTCTTTAACTGCAATAGCTCAGTGCTGTGGGAGTTATAGCTTGGCAGGGTACTTTTTAGCAGAGAAGGCTCAAGACCAAGGCTATGGACCTTGTGGAACTACAACTCCCAGAATTCCATAGCACTGAGCCATAGCAATCAAAGCAGTGCCATACAGCATTCATTCTGCAGTGGAGATGCACCGAGAGAAGACTATGGGCCTTGTGAAACTATAACTCCCAGGGTCTCTCATACCACTGAACCATGGCAGTTCAAAAGGTGCCAAAGTGCAATAATTCTGCAGTGTAAATGCACCCCTTGTATTATTATTAGGAAATATTTACCATGCTCTTCAGCCTTATAACACTACAACTCCCAAGATCCCATAGCATTGAGCCATGACAGGTGTCTTCAATCAAGTGGCATCAAACTGCATTAATTTTGCTATTTCAACGCACCCTTTGATGTGTGCAAATCCCTAGATCCTGTGGCAACTAAAGTGGTGCCAAAGTTCTCTAATTCTGCAGTATGGATGGTCCTTGAAAATGAATTGCAAGGTTCTCCCCATTTGGCTTGCAGGGTTTTTGGAAGGTGCGCATTGAATAATGGGTGTCATAGTGAGCAATCAGCCTCATGGGCCTGAGTCCTTTAAAGTGGTACCAATCTGCATTCATTTTGCTGTGTAGATGCACCCTATAGTGCTCGAGACACTGCAAATCCTAAGATTCTATGGCAGCTAAAGTGCCAAAGTGACACATAATTCTGAATGTGGCCCTCTGTGCGTGGGTCCGAGCCCCCTGCCCTTTCCGTTGTCCCTTTCCTTCCTTCCTTTGCTCCTATGTGTTGCCTCTCAGCTGCCAGGAAGTGGGGGCGGATGGAGGGGAAGTGTGCATTAACGCGATGGTGCCATGCGCCGTGTTTCCTTTTTTGCCCATCATGCCGAGGGAGAGAGAGCCCTGGTTTTGCATGTCTTCTTACGCATCGCTCTTTTTCTCACCATTCCCTTTGAACGGTGAATTGCATCCTAAGAGGGAAACAGAGAGTGTTATGGTTTCTTTTTTTCTTAATGGCAAACGTTTGACTGTTTTGTGGCTGCAAAAAATTAAAGAAGAAGCACAAAACCGGAAGCGCGAGGTGCATGGGGTTAAGATCATGCAAAGCAGGCCGATCTCTACTGCAAAGAAGGCTCTAAAGGAGCCTAAATTAACCTTATCGTAGAAGCATAGAAGGGGCCAATAGGGTTCTCTTTTAAGAGGAGAAAGTGCCATATAAATAAACATCCTTATCATCAGTCCAATACTATGCTATGTGGAAACCTACGAATAAAGCTCTCCAGAAAGAGGCTCTAGTTAAACAGTGGTTCTCAACGTATGGGTCCACAGATAGGCTCCAACTCCCAGAAATCCAAACAGCTGGTAAAATGGCTGGGATTTCTGGGAGTTGTAAGCCAAACACCTGGGGACCCACACGTTGAGAACCACTGAGTTAGAGAATACATTGCTTTCTGGGGGTGTCTTGCATTGAACTCAGAAGTAGAACTGCATTTTGTGGTGTGTCTAAACTGTACAATTAATGCACTTTGAGAATTCTGAGCAATCATGGGAGTTGTAGTAGCCAAAGAGTGTGAGCATCTCCCCAAATACAGGTGCCATGATCTCATTGCATTGCGTCATAGCCACTTGGAGTCCTAAAGTGAGGTATAAACATTAACAACAATTATTTTTGTTGTTGTTGATGTTGTTGTTATTATTACTATTTTACTGACACAAAACCACAGTATGTCACAGCAAACGAGATCTCTATGCTGGATTTCGTATCACAAAATCACACGTTGAACACTTCCCAAGCGTCTAGGACTGTGTGATGTATTTTTGAATGATGCGCGCAGATCCAAGTAAGGTGGCCTTTTGCAGTTGACTGATCGTGATTTTCTCAATGTTTATTGTTTACAAATGCCTGCTGAGATGATGATGATAATGATGATGATTATTATTATTATTGTGGTTGTGGTGGTGGTTGTATATTACTACTACTACTACTACTACTACTACTACTACTACTACTATTAGGGGGCAAACCGCATTCATTCTACAAAGTAGAGGCACCCTTGAACTGCGGTGGCTCCGTGCTGCGGAATCATGGGAGTTGTAGTCATCAAGAGTATTGGTCCCTCACCATACAACTCCTGGAATTCCATTTCATGGAGCCATGGTAAAGTAGTGCCAAACCACTTTAATTCTGCAGTGTAGATAACTCCAGGACTCCTGGAGATGGACTATTATGTACTGGCATTTTGCATAAAGGCAGAAAGGCAAAGACTGGCCAAATCTGCCATCTTGAAGCACAACCTGTTTCTCCTTTTACAGTGACTGCCCCTTTCCCCTTCCAAAACGCATCTTTGTTGCCATGTGGATGTTGATCGCCATTCTGCGCACATTTCCATGACATCACAGTGGCGCAGAATGGTGATCAACGTTGGTGGATCCCTCCAGATATCTCCGCGAGGCTGTTTTTCTTCCTTTAATGAATATTGCATGCTGAGCACAGAGGAGGCAATTTTTTCCTTTACCTCACATGTCCTGGTCATAAAAACAAACCTGTATTTTTCCGACTCTTGGGTCTGAAGGGATGGAGGGAGGCAAGGACTGTGCGTTCCTGCTTTTGTGCTTCTTGGCTCTTGGGTCCGGCCTTTGAAGCTTTTAGGGTCTCTCTTTGGGGCCATTAGGGTTTGCGGTTGCCTTCCTAGGAGCTGACTTGCAGTCTTCACTTGGGCATTTATTGGTCCCCAGTTTGCAAATTGGAGACAATGCAAAAGTACACGTGATTTGCAAGAAAACAGCACATCACAGTCGGAGTTCTTGGTCCACAGTTTGCTAAATTGAGCCAATGCAAAAGTATATGGGATTTGCAAGAAAACAACACATAG